CTCTCAATGGAGAGAAACTGAAAGCATTTCCTTTATCAGCAGGAACCAGGCAAGGATGCCCTTCCTTTATCACCATTCCTGTATTGTGGGGAAAGCAGTGGCTCTATATGATAAGCACTGGAGTTATAACCAGAAGGCTCACAGTTCGAGCCTGCTAGCTGCTCTCCAGGAGAAAGATGAGGCTTTCTGCTTCCAAAAGATCTGAAGCCAAATCCTACATTGGCTCTCTGTGAATTGGAACTGACTCCATGGCACTTAACAACAACAACAGCAGCATTCAATATTGTGCTGGAAGTCTTAGTCAGAGCTGTAAGGCAAGAAAGGGTGAAGACATCCAAATAAAGATATCCAAATTTCTTAATGCATTGACCTGCAAGCTCCGTTTGAACCGCAAGGTTAACAAGTTCAAGTTCATCATCTACTCCTTAGAAATCGCTATGGGTCACAACTGACTCAACGGCACTTAACAACAACAATTTGCAGGTGACATGATTCTATACATAGAAAACCCTAAAGACTCAGCAAGAAAATTATTGGCGCTCATTGAAAGTTTTTTTTTTTTTTTTTTAAATGGCCAGGTAATAAGAACAACATATGAACATCAGTTGGGTTCCTTTACAGCAACAGAGCTCAGGAAAGGAAATCAATACCATTTCCTTTGTTGTTAAGTCACTTCTGACTCACAGCGACCCTGTACAGGATTTCCAAGGAGCAGCTAGTGAACTTGAACCTCCAACCTTATGGTTAGCACTCTAGTGTTTATCCTACAGTGAGCGCCACACCAAGACAGCGTTAGGTGCCATCGAGTCAGTTCTGTGTCATAATGACCCCATATAGGGTTTCTGTGGAATGGCCGATGGTTTGAACTAACCATGTGGTTAGCACTCCAGTGCTTATCTTACAGAGCCACACCAGGACTCCCCATTTACATTAGTCACAAAAGATGCACTATTTAGGAGTAAATCTAACCAGAGAAACAAAAGACCTATACAAAAAACTACAAAGCACCACTACTACAAGCAACTGAAAGAGACCTACAAAAATTGAAGAATATGCCATACTTATGGATAGAAAGTCTTAACATCGTGAAAGTATCAGCACTGGACTGTGAACCACAAGGTCCACAGTTCAAACCCACCAGCTGCTCTTTGAAAACCCTATACAGGGTCGCTTATAAGTCGAAACCGCACTTAAACAACCCCAAGGCAATCCATAGACATGCAATCCGAATCTAGATTCCAACATTATTCTTTAGAAAGATGGAAAAACAATCACTAACTTTATATAAATGCAAAGAGATCCTGGATAAGCAAAGCAATACTAAAAAGAACAAAGAAGGTCTTTCACTTTCTGATCTCAAAACCTACTACACAGTCACAGTAGTCAAGACAGACTGGTACTGGTACAATGAAAGACACAGAACAGTGGAATAGAATCGAGAATCCAGAAGTAAATCAAAGCTCACTTGATTGTTGGCAAAGGGCCAAAACACATTAAGCGAGAAAGAGATGGTCTCTTCAAGAAACGGTACTGATAAACTGGAAATCCATTTGCAGAAGAAAAACATGACCCATATTTCATACCATATACAGGTATAAACTCATTTGGATTAAAGACCTAAATGTTAAAACCTAGAACTATAAAGATTATCAATGAAAAACTAGGGATAAATAAACTTGGGAGCTCCACAGACTGGGGCAATGTTTTTGACAATAACATATTAGATAAGGGACTACGCTCTAAAATGTATAGACCACTTCAACATCTCAAAAAGAAGACAAATATTTCAATTGAAAAATGGGCAGAGGACATGACAAACACTTCACTGTAGACATCTGAGTGACCAACAAACAAAAAGAAATGCTCAGGGTCGTTAGCCACTGTTGTTAAGTGCCACTGAGCCAGTTTTGACTCATAGCAACCCTGTGTTATAGGGTATCCAAGGAACAGCTGGTGGGTTTGAACTGCTTACCTTGTGGTACGCAGCCCAGTGCTGATCCTACAGCACCATAACAGGAGTTCTTAGAGCGATGCAAATCAAAACAGCAATGATTACCCCAATATTGATAACAAAGTTCATAAAAATAGAAAACAACATGTAGTTGAGGGTGTGACTAGACTGGGCCTTTCCTACATTGCTGGTGAGTCTAAAATGGTGTAGAATATTTTTGTAGGTCTCTTTTGGTTTCTTGTAGTAGTGTTTTGTAGTTTCTCTGGTTAGATACTCCTAAATATTGCATCTTTTGTGTGACTGGAAAATGATATGGCGCTTTCTCAAAAAGTTGGGAATAGAAATACCGTATGACCCAGCAATCCCTCTACTTGGTTTATATCCTCAAGAATTAAAAGTCGTGACATGAATAGATATATGCACACCCATCTTCACTGCAGCACTGTTCAAAATAGCAAAGAGATGGAGACAGCCTAAATGTCCATCAGTGGAAGAATGGCTAAACAAACTTTGGTACATACATACATAAAATACTATGCAACACCAAAGAATAATGATGAATCTGCAAAACACTTCAACATGGATGAACCTATATGACATTATGCTGAGTGCAATTAGTTAATTGCAAAAGGAGAAATATTGCATGAGACTACTTTTGTAAACAATAGTGAGGTTGACCCAGGATCGGGCAGTGTTTCGTTCTGCTGTGCATAAGGTCGCTATGGCTTGGTACCGACTCAATGGCACCTAACAACAACAACAACAACAACTTATGTAAAAAGTTAAGGTTTTCTTCTAAAAGAAACATTCTATGATGTTTACTATGGGTGGGAGGGAAAGGAAAATTATCCATTGGCTAGAGGGAAGATGCATGGTAATTTAGGTGACTGGGAAGGCAATATCCAACAAGAGGGAGGATGGCAGAGGAAGTATGAATGTATTGGAAGACACATAGAGAAGTGCAAGAATTAAAGTGCAAACAGCTGGTACATGGAGGGTGTTGCAATCATCGGAATGAAATGAAGTGTATGATTTGTTGAATGTGCAACTGATGATCTACTGTGTAAACCTTCAATCAATTCACAATCAAAGGTTAAAAAAAAAAAAGTACCTTTGCACTGTTTTCCCTCTTTTCAAAAATGCAAAGGTTCCAAACACCTCGTTGAAGACGATCGAACTACATACACTGTGATTAACTTAGCAGTGGCTCTTCTCACAAAAATATGTTCACTGGATATGGGTGAAGTATTCTTACTAACTCGACAGAACATACTCACAAATGTTATCTGGTGGTTATTTAAATATGTTAGGAACATTTTCTACAGGATTGCTGTTCACACCATATTAACAGTAAACCCATAATATGTAACCCCATTCAGAACCACCAACTGCATCAGAACTTTTAAATCCCTGAAAATAAAGTATAAACACAGATAAGTAGAGTATTTAATCGAAATATATTTGTCTAATATCTACAAAGTGTGAACAATTGGTCTTAAGAATGCAGACAAAAGGCACAAAATCAGTGTGATTACAGAGAAGCATTCATGCTATTGGACTGTATAAATATCATTTGAATGACACAGTAAAAATAAATTAAGCATTAAGCAAAAATCAAAACTTCATTTTACCTTCTTTTATATTCTGGTCATGTTTTTTCACTTCATTTGTAAAGGCCGAGGACAGAAATCCAACTGAAACCGTGGAACCCTTGGGCAGGTTTTATGTACATCTTAATCACAGTGGTTTTCTTGCAGAGTTTGGGCCAAACCAGACAGGTGCATTCAAAACAAAACACACACATAGGAAATTCTTTCCTCTTTCCCCAAACTAAATACAAGATTGAAACTGTGGTACATGTTTGTTTGTGCATGTGAATGTGTAAATTCAACTTCTAAAGCCCTTTTTTTTTAATGACCACAAAAGGAGAGATGTCACCATATGATTTATTTTCAGCTATAAAATAAGCAATAGCTTAAAAACTTGTGACTCGTGCTTTGAGTGTGAGGTGTCAGAAAGCTTTTGGGGCAATTTCAGGGTGGGGCCTGGGTCTAGTTCCTCTGAGTGACAGTCTGTTCTACCCTGGAAGACTCTGGCATAGACCCCTCAACAACTTCCTACCCACTGTTCCCATCCAGTAGAAAATAGCAGTTTATCTTTCTTAGGGGCAAACAGACAAAATGAGATGTGGGGTGAGGAGGTGGAAATCAACAATTTTGAAATGAGAACCACCCACCACACCTCTATTTTACGATGGTGGTGGCTGTGTAACATGCAGTCGGTTCCAACTCATAGTGGTCCTGTACAGGGTTTCTGGGGCTATAAATCTTTACCGGAGCAGAAAGCCTCACCTTTCTCCCACAGAACTGCTGGTAGTTTTGAACTGCTGGCTGTGAGATTAGCAGCTGTGAACCTCAGGGTCAGCAGTACGAAACTACCAGCTGTTCTGCAAGAGAAAGATGAGGTTTTCTGCTCCTGTAAAGGTTTACAGCCTCGGAAACCCTGTACAGGGTCGCTATGAGTCGGAACTGAGTCCACGGCACATAACCACCATAACCACCACCACGCTACCAGAGCTCCTGTTTTACCATATGGAAGGAAGTCAATTAAGCCAGACCAACTCACCTTTCTTTTGACTGGGTGATATAATACCTGTGTGAGTGCAAAGTGAAAAGTAGAAAACCTCCACTCTCATCGATAACAAGGAGCTCATAAGGACCCAAGTACACCTTGGGAGTACAGTATTCACATGTATGATAATACCCAGCAGACATGTGTTATATAGTGCATGCGTGTGAACACATACAGCGTGCTGAAAGTTCACACACAGATCTGTATGCACACATATGCTCCAAATGGCTCTTGAATAAATTCAATCCTATAGCTGAGTCTTGGGGGTACATATTTCACAGTTTATAATTCTACTCTCAGTTACCATTCCTTGGATGATATCAAGAGGTTTCAGTGAATGTCAGCACAGCCTTGATACTGTACCACTTTAATTCCTACAAAATCAAGGCTATTTCGGGAAGCTTTGCAACTCCACCCATCAGTGTGCCTTCCAGAGGGGATTGATGTAGACCCAGCCATCACCCTGCAAGAGAAGGAGGGAGACGTTACCTCTTAGTGAAAGATGTCCACAGAAGCAAGGCTATTCCCCCCGGCCTCTGCTACTTCACAACAGCAGCCTGGACACTAAATGCTGTCCACAGCAGCACTCAGTGAGGGCAGCTTAGAACCACCAGCAGCCTGCATGCCTGCCTGCCCTGATCCTGACAGCTCACAGCCTTGCACCAGCTCTCCTCAGTCCCCTGTAATCTTCATTTCTTAGCATTTCAAGAAAAAAAAAAAACCCACCCACAAACATAACTCAAGAAGGGGATATCTTGTAGGTTTGAAGCACGGAAGATGAGGTGGCAAAACTTTCTGAGACAGAAGCAGGAAAAGAACGAGGCCGCCAGATGAACAGAGACTATACATTCTGCCCATCCACCTTGGAGCGGAACACCCAGGAGGCACGAGTCACACATCAGTCAGACATCAGTCAGATTTCAGGACTTTGGAAAAAGGCCAGAATCAAAACATTCACTCTACTCCTTAGACTGGGAAGGAAATACAGTGATTATTAACAATTCGGGCATTGGAATGTATTTTCTTGTTTAGACGGCCCACAGCCTTCTGTTACCAACATGCTGGTTTTTATTAAACCCAAGAGAAAGAAGTGTTGTTTTACTGTCATTTTTTTAATGACAATAGCCACAGTTTTTTAATGCCTAGCCACAGAAGCCAGGCAAACCAGTAATCTCTGAGAGAGCAGCTCGACAACACAGAAAAACCCTTTGAGGATTTACCTCACCCAGCAAGGCATCCCATACAGGGTCCCTACTCAATGACACCCAAAAGCAGTCCCCCCAGCAGCCTTCCTGTCTGAACCAGCGTCCAACCTTCATTCAGCCCTAGGCTTGGCTTCCTGTCTCTGCGCTGAACAGTGGCCACTTCCTGCTTTTGGTCATAAATCTAACTGACAGTTGATGATGTCTCCATAAGTCATCCCACGACCTCACATCTAGACAAAGTAAATTCCAATCCGTAATGGTTCCTGGTCAGAGACAAGCGGCATATGCCTAAAGAGAGCCCACACACATATTTCAATTGGCTTTAACATTTTTAAGGTTTTAAAATATCTTTAATTCTTTCGCAACATATAAAAGTCAGATTTCTTATTTTTAAAAAATCCAAGTTTCTAGTTTCTCTTAAAGAATTGGATAATCAGTTATTATTGCCTGGAGGTGAGTGGTAGCCACCACCTTTAGACATGGACTCTCCTGTTTGCCCTGGACTCACCAGCCAGCTTCTCATGCATGCTACCTGTTGGGTTCCTAAGGGCCTGCCTTCTAAACTGCTCCGACACTTCCATAATTTACAATCCTACTCTCAGAATTCAAGAGGGCTTCAAAAAGTTCATGGGAAAATCTTGGTACCCTTCAATCCCAATGTTTCACAAGTTTCTTGAAGCCTTTTTGTTCTTTCCAGTTTTTCCAGAAACAACTTCAAGCAAAGAGCATAAGGGTGTCAAACTGGGCATATAGTGCCCTGTCCCTCTGCCTAGTGGGTGGTCATGTAGATTTGCTTTCCAAGGTCATTCTCCTGACAGCAGCAACATGTTAGGTGCAGGACACACCCAACCTTCCCTAGCATGCCCAGCCCATAGGGCAGCAATGCTCTGCAATAGTGGTCTTCAAACCATGACGGCTCCAGCCACCCATCTGCGGAGATGGGCTGCGAGGTGCTTCACAATTAGTTCGCTACCAATAACTGAACAAGGGTTGTGAACAGTTTGAAAGCAGACTGACTTTGCAATCCCATTCCTCCCATTCACTGATAGGTTGATGGGCTGTTGTAACTGGGAGATGCCAGGAGGGGAAGTATCATTGCCCAGTTCTCCCCACAGGAGACTGTTGTAGAAAACTTGTCCCTAAATGTAGTCCAGACCCGGATGCAAAACCAAGATGCCCCTGTCCTTCCCAGGGCCTCCCCTGCTCCTGTTTGTTCGCACTCATACAAACTGCTGGGTCAAATAAAACCACCTGCCTCCCGCACCCTCCATCCCACCCTCCACACAGGATGAACTCTTTAGTGGGTAAGAGTTCAATGACAGGTTACTGGGTTACCTCCTGGACAAAATATTTGGGCTGCCATGGTGTGCTGAGATTTTCCCGCTTCCGTTCCTCCACCCGCTGCTTCTCCTCAAGGTGCCGTTTCTGCTCAGTGGCAGCATCAATGTCCCCCAGACGCAGGTATCGGGTCACCTCCCGCCAGAGGTTTCTGGGAAGCACAGAGAAGAACCAATCAGGGTGGCAGTCTGAGGGGAAGGGAGCATTAATAGAGGTAGCACATCCCCAGTATCTCTGGGTATAGAGCCAGGATGCAACTCCAGGGCTACTGACTCCAAGTCTGTACTGTTTCACTAACCTCTCACTTTTTCAGGACTTGGAGTTTCTAGCTTTCAAATCTAATAGTCAGTAACAGTAATACCACTACAAACAACATCACAATAATATTCAAATGGCACCATACTGCTAAGCAATTTGCATATATATAGTAACTCATTTAATCCTCAACAACCCAATGATATAGATGTTATTTGTTGTTTGTTGTTGTTAGGTGCCATCCAGTCGGTACCGACTCATGGCGACCCTATGCACAACAGAACGAAACACTGCCCAGTCTTTGTCCAACCTCACAATTGTTGCCACACTTGAGCCCATTGATGCTATAGTATCCCTATTTTACAGAGGAGAAAACAGGCTTGCATAAGATTAAACAACTCAAAGTAACCAAGCTGGTAATTATGAACAGTGCTTGCTTTCCCACAAGGGAGCTCAGTATAATGTGTTATTGATGTGTGGGTGTGTGTGTGTACATGTTTATGCTGCCGGATCTGCCATTTTCCCCAGTGTATACACTATAGAAAGAAGTCTAGATCTGTATCTGCCTGACATGCAGCTTCCTCAGCAGGCTCTTTCCCAGGACCAAGTCATTACACCCTGTTCTAGGAGGCCAGCAAAGGTAAAGGAGGCATCATTGCCTGTGTGCTTCCAAACTGAAACGAACCAGAACTTGCGGTTCACACAATGAAGGCGGCAATGGTTAGGGCTTTGTATCAGCTTGGCTAGGCCAGGATTTCCAGAGGTTTAGCAATTGGGATGTGCTTACTCTCATGGTAATGAAACCTAACATGGGAATAGTAAACTATAATGAGTAGCTATGAGCAGCCTATCAATTAAAGGGATGCTTCCTTGGGGGTGTGGCCTGCTACCAACATAATGGACATGCTGGAGGGACTCTTCCTCTTTCTCTTCTTCTGGGGACCTGGGAATCTACACTTGTAAGCCATTTCCTTGACAAGTAACTTCTCTCTATATATACATATATATGTTTCACTGGTTTTGCTTCTCTAGAAAACCCAGCCTAAGACATGTGGTACCAAGTGAATGGGGGTTTTAGAGACAACAAAATCACAAGGATGAGTTTTTAAAATTGGTTCTCAATTCTGTCTAATTTTAAAGGCCTTGATATAGGGTGGAGGCATGTCTGACTTCTACTTCATAGGAATCAGGCTTGGGCTGACAATGAGTTTGGTCCGCTTTCCCACTTGTAGACTCAGAGGAAGTCAGACATGGTCCCCACTACATTTAAGTAGTTCCAACTGTGAGTGGGATTCATTGTAATGGCTCCAGATCTATGAAATTATGAGGTTGTGTAAAAGAAAGAACAAAGGGGCATGGGATAAATTATTTAAGCAGTAGAGAGAGCAGCAGCCAGCTTTTGAATTATCTTCAGTTGCAGCTTCTGGAGTTGCCCGGAGTCTATGACCTGCTGGTTTAAAAGGATGGCTGATATCAGGCCTGGGCCTACTGGAATCCACCCTGCTGAGGCCCAGGGCCATATGCATATGAATGGGGTTAGTCCATGGGAGAAGAAAAGACTGAACTTGAGTGTATTAAAAGGTTTATATGTTTGACTACATTTTAGGTAGATATTGGTTTCTCCTTTCTGTTATTGTAAAATAGACATACATGGGTGATAGAAATGAATATTGGGTGTGATGAATGCAGAGAGCTTGTAAGCCTGCGGTCAGCCTATACTTGACTGGCTTTGCTAAAAGGGGCTTTAGAAATTGCCTGGCCAAAAAAGGTTCTTGGTTTAAGCCTTGTTGAGTAAGGAGCCTTAGGGGGAATCCTGAGCTCTACCCAGAACCTTCAGAGTTGGTACATTTGCATTTGAAAAGACAGGCAGACCAACCCAGAACTACTAGGAGAACAGGAGATTCATGATTAAAAGCAAGCAAAGGAAAACAAAAGTGGACAGTTTAGCATTTTGTGTTTCTGAGGCATCAAGGCAAGCAAAGTTGGCCCATAAGACAAAACTCCCTTCTGTTACTGAAAGTTCAAAGGAACTGATGAGAGGGAAGGCTGGTTGGTCTAACGTTTAGTGAGTTTTATGAAATCCTAAGGCCAGGGGCCCTGAGCTACCTGGGCCAGCTGATTTGAAGCGCAGAGAGGTGTGTGTGAACTCCCAAACTTGCAGTTGGTATCCATTTGACCTAGCTTGGATGGCTAGGGCTAAGCTGATCAGAACCTGCCCAGATTAAGATAAAGATGTTTGATACTGTTATTGTTGTGAAGTGCTATCGAGTCGGTTCTGACCCGTAGGGTTTCCTAAAAGTGGCTGGTGAGCTTTGCAGTCCAACGTACTGAACAAGTATAAATTGCTACATTTTGTTAAAGTGAACTTTTACTTAAGGATGCACTTGCTCAAAATTCCAACTGGAACAGAAGATTCTTCAGATCAAGGAACATGCTTGTGTCCTCGGTATACTGGGTTGATAGGGATGGGCAATTTTGACATTAGCTATCAAAAATGGGGGTGGAGGAACAAAGGCATGAAGTGGCTGGCTTACAAGATTTCATGGGTGTATTTAGTTTTACAATGAGGGGACAAAGGTGAATCCCCACTGAATCGTTTTTCTTTTTTCCAGATGGGTCTGGTAAAAGGGGCTGGTGGGTGATGCTGACAAGGTTTTATTATTTCAATTGGGAGTAATTACTAGTAGGATTAATTGTGATTGTCAAAACCGTCATTGTAGAAGATGTGTAACTAAAAGGAAGGAGTAGTTATCCTTCATTTTAGTAACAGATGATCTCAGGACCCTCATTAAGGAAGAGCGTGAATGGAGCGTGGGATCCCTGCCTGGAAAAGCAGAGACAGCAGAGATTGCGCAGAGGTAGTGGCATGGCGAGACAGAGCAGCTTTGGACTCCAGGCCCATGGACTGAGTAAGGCTGTGTGTCTATGGGCAGCAAGCTGGCTTATAAAATGTGCCCCCTTTGGACATGAAAAGGAATATATACTTTTTGTTTTGTTTTGTTTAGTATGTGTGAATCAAATATTTTTGCTTTATTCATTACTGACATGTAAGATGTAAATGGGGCCAGTGTGTTTTCAGTTGTATATGTTTTAATTATATTAGGTCCAAGTATGGCATTATAATTGTCTTTATATAGAGATTATGCATATCATTCATAGGTTCCATGTTGACAACGGTGGACTGTAATGGTTAGGATTTTGTGTCAATTTGACCAGGCCAGGATTTCCAGGGATTTAGCAGTTAGGATATCCTTATTCCTATGGTGACGAAACCTAATACTGGCACAATTAACTCTATGATGAGTGGCTATGAGCAGCCGAGATCAATTGAAGGGATGCTTCCTTTGGGGCATAGTCTACAACTGATATAATGGACATACTTCTCTATGTATCCATATAAGGAGCTCTGGCAGCATAGTGGTTATGAATTGGGCTGCGAACTTCAAGGTCAGCAGTTTGAAACTATAAGTTGTACCGTGGGAGAAAGATGAGGCTTTCTGTTCCTGTAAAGATTTACAGCCTCGGAAATCCTGTACAGGGCGTCGGAACTGACTCCACGGCACACCACCACCATATATACATATATGTTTGATTGGTTTTTCTTCTCTAGAGGGAAGGTTGGCTGGTCTAGAAAACCCAGCCTAAGACACAGGTATTCAGTTTCTTGGTGATGATCCAATACTCCTGTCATTAGATCTGGATTAGGGAGCACTTTATAGTGGAGCAGTTACCTTGACCCTTTCACAAGAGGGTTTAACTGCCCACGCACAAAAGGAAGCCCTCAGTATTGGCATGATGAGGCTGAGGAAGGGCAGATATGGAGATTCAGTTGACAGGGACAGTGCAGTACCTTCTGAGGAGGGTCAGAAGTCATAGGAAGAAGCTGACAAGGATTAAGATCCTGCTGTGAATCTGGCCAGCCCAGTGGACCTGGTCTGTACCCCCACTGAACAGACATCCAGGGAAGGGATGCTCTGGTCTGTTTTATAGCAGAAGAAACCTCTAGAACTGGTATGTAAAACCAGGTCTGATTGACCTCATGGCCCTTGCTCTTGAGGTCCATCAGACCTGGTTGACATGTTCCCTGATACCTGATATAAGAGGGAAGAAAGACTGGTCTAAATAGTAAAGGAAGGCAGAGAAGAAAACAATGAAGGGGTAGGCACTGGGTCAAAGCATAGTTCTTCTCCTCGCCCATGGAAGGACTAGGCAAAAGAACAGCCAGGGTGGTAAGCTTGCTCACAGGGGTACACCTCCCATGGTAAGTCCCATTTTAAGACAGTGGCCCAAAGCTTAGAGGGCAGAAACCCCCAAGGTCAGAGGGGTTGATGGCTCACAAATAAGGAGCTCTACCCAGAGAGCACAAAAACCCAGCAGGAGCATCAAGATGCCAGAAAGCCTAAGGGTGAGCAGCATAGTGGGACCCATCTAGGGAAGGGCTCTAAATGCCAAGCTAAAGGAAAAGGCTGCAGGGTGGGGAAGGGTAAGATCATGGATCGATGGCTCTGCCTTTAACCACTGGGCGCCTGCCAGCTCTGGTCAAGGCAGGACACCCCTCAGGCCAGGCTCTGAGATACCAGCAGGGTCAGGCATTAGAAGGTCTTCACTCTGAACCCTAATGAGCCAGTTGTTCACTTGCAAGGAGCTGGCAGCACTGTGAGGGCCCAGACACCAGACTACCATGGCCCCACCCAGCCATGCTGGTCCCTCTCCCTTGCCTCTGAAGGAAAAGCCAGGTGGACCCCAGAGAAACTGGCTCAGACACTCTGTTCAGCAAGAGCACCCTCAAACATGCTACTTCTTGGGGATGTTTCCTCCATGGAAAACAGGAATAGTGGGGCTCAATATCCACATTCCAGCCAATTCTGCAGATGCAAAAAATAAAGAGGTAGCCCCTCTCTTTCCTGCTCTACACCTGAATCCATCTCTGCTCCAGGCTGAATTCTGACTCCCCACAGACTCAAAGGCAGCCATCTTAATGAGGAGAAGGTTACCTCTGATATTCTTTCTAAGAAGCTCACTCACAATGCACTGTTCAGACAGAGGGCTGCACCATCCTTTGTTTCCATGTAATAAACACCCTTTCCATTTGGCTATGAGTCCTTCTTGCAATGGCAAACACTTGTATAAAATCATTTGTAATTTGTATCATATTGCTACAGAGCTTTTAAGATGTGAGCAGGGATTGACAACGTTTTCCTGTAAAAGGCCACACAGGAAATACATTAGGCCAGTTGCAACCACTCACTGTGCTGCAGCAGGAAGGCAGCCAGAGATAATATGAATATGCATAAATAGTATATTTTTGTTGTTAGGTGTTGTTGAGTTGGTTCCAATTCATAGCAACCCAGCATACGGTTTCTGAGGAGCGGCTGGTGGGTTTGAACCACCAACCTTGTGGTTTGAACTGACTTTGTGGTCAGGTGCTAATCCTACAGTAGCACCCCAGGACTCCATAGATAATACATAGACAATATGAATATGCATAGATAATGTATGTATGATCATGACTATTCTCTAATAAAACTTAATTTACAAAAATCATTCTGGTGCTGGATTTGGCTGATAGAATATAGCTTACAAATTCTGTACATTTAAAAAATAAAGTAATATTCCAAGAAGACTCTGCTGCAGTCTTCTTGGAACACAACACGAGGGGTCTTCAAAAAGTTCATGAGAAAATTCCATCATCTTTTAATTCCATTTGGCCATGAACTTTTAAAGTCCTATCATAAGCACCTACATAAGATCACTCTAAATGGCTGCATTATATTCATGCTCACTGAGCAGATATTCCACAATTCACTTTACAATTTTCCTATTGTTAGACAGGTAGTTTCTTTTTCTTGCTGCAATTTGCTGCTTGTTTTTCTTTAAAAATAATACGAAATGTATGTTTGATATCTTTTCTGAACTTAACAATTTTCCCTTAGGATTGATTCCCGGAAGTAGAATACAAGACTTAATTGAATTTATATGTTTATAACTACTGACCCTATTCAGCTGAATTACAAACCTCATGGGCTGTACCCATTTACAGGCCTACTGGAAGGACACAGTATAGATTGCCAATTTTATCACATCTTTTGCAGCAATGAATTAAAAAAATATATTTATAACTAGTCTGGTAAGAAAAAATATGATCTCACTGATTCACGGCACAGTTCTTTGATTTCAACTCTCTGTATCTCGCTGCAGAGATGCATCAGGCAGCAGACCCAAGGAGTAGGCTGTTGATTATCTTCACCCTCCTCACTGTAACTGCAGAGTGAGTAACTAACTGAAACCTACTAAGGACCTACACTGAGTGACACACAATTAAAACATTTAAAGGAATCAAAAGCACACAATTTTCAGTCCATTTCCATCAGCTTCTCTTCTGTCAACTTGATTCCAGCTCTGAGGACACCTAAGCTGGAGAGAGAAACACAGTGTGTTCTTACCTGGACTCCATGGGCCCCTGCTTTTCCAGAGGTCTGATCTTCTTAGGGTACACTGGCAGTGTGGTTGTGTCAATGACTTTGGTTTCTCCATTGCTGTAGGTGAACTCCAAGGTACCATTCCACTCCCCGTGAGCTTTACAAACAATGGTGTTGGTTGGATTGTGCTTCACTTCTGCGGTTACCCTGAGTTAATGAATGAGTCAAGTAAGCATACAACTAGGTTGTGAAAAGAGACTTCAAAAGGTAAATTGATATATAAGGGGTGGGGGAGGTACTGCTTTTGCAGGCATGCTCAAAGATTTAACTCTTAGGATAGAATCTAATATTCTTGAGCAGAAAAAGGACACTGATGAAAGAGCTGGTGAATTCGGAATAAAGACTGTCGATTACTTCATAGAAATGTTAGTATCTTAGTTTTGGAAAATACACAACTGTTTTATAAGACTTTAATACTGGAATGGAAATCCAGCAATTCAATAAAAATAGAGCAAAATTCATCCCTCCAAAAAGTAAAATCTAATTAGTGCCATATTTTAACCGCAGGAAGGGTAAGGTAAAGGGAGAGCTGAGGTCAATTCAGTGTGTGGGTCGAACACGACTACTCACAATCCAACAGAGATCACAGGGAAAAGGAGAGGGATAGCCACCCAACACCCACAAAATCCTCTGAAAGAAAGCTGAGCAGAAGCTACTCTCAGCCGAACATCAAAATCTTCCTACTCACAGCTGTGCCTCTGAGGGCGGACTTTCTTGAAAAGGGCTTTTATAGAGACTTGTGACTGCTGGCTTCACCTGCCTCCAGCTCTTCACCTCTGGGTGAAAGCAGACATAAACGCCCACCTCCTCTCCACCTTGAAACTTTCAAAGTGACACAGGAGAAAGGAATGCCAGGTCCTCAGCAGCCAAATGGAGGAGCTAAGCTACTCTTTTGTGGTAGTCCAGCTCAGGTTAAATTGAGAGTTTTCAAATGCAGCCAGAAAACTCTTCCTGAACCTCTGAACAGCCACCATGAGCATGAGCCACCATGAGCATGACGAAACAGAGTTCCAGGTCTTCTGGAAATTGCTGGAGTCCACACAGAGGAAGGTGTGTGTGTGTGGGGGGGGGGCTTCCCACCATGGCTGATTTGAAGCTATCAACATGGTATCACTAAATGTGGAGGAAAAGACATGAACTGGTATATGATAATGTACCGAGCTGCCTGCAGACACACTCACATTAAGTCCATACACAGAAATATTTCCCTGGGAAGTCACAGATGGAAACTTCCTTATCTATCAGGAGCCTTGGTGGCACTGTAGGATAAGCAGCTCATACCCACCAAACACATGTCAGGAGAAAAATGAGGCTTTCTACTCCCATTAACAACAACAACAACAACAACTCCCATTAAAGATGTATAGTTTCAGAAACCCTACACAGGGTCACTTTGAGTTGGAATTTGCTCAGTGGCGGTGGGCCTTTTGGGGGGCAGGGTGAGACATAAATTGCTCACCAACATTTTCATCCTCTCAGGTTTCTTGGGAAGCTGCTATTCGAGTTGTAATCTGTATAGCTGCCTGGCAGAGACCTGTATAGTTGCGTGAATCTGAAGAAACAGGTCTCAATCCATCAATCCTACCACTAGGGTCCATGTGGGACACATGTGTTCCACATAATTTTATCAACCATATTACCTTTAAAAAATTTTTTTTTAATCTTTTCTCTATTATTAACAACACATGGTTATCAGCCAAAAATTCAAAGCAGAAAATAATTTGGTCATGAAAGGCATAAATGATTGATCTGCTGGGAAAGAGGATTTTAACATAAAGGTAGCAGAACAATGACTCTGTGCTTTCTCAAACAGCAGAGCTTTCCCTGTTTGTTACAGGCTCCCCAGAGGAAAAGAACAGTCATGATCTCATAGATGCAAGATGTGAAATCCAGGATCTGGGGCTCATGATTATCTAACGCAGCCAACTTAACATGGAAATGCTGAGCTCTCAGGCAGTATCCAGATACACATACCTAATCACTCCAGATAGGAGAGCTTATTTTAACAAACAGAGGTGTCTTTGAATCTTCCATTCATTTGTTCCACAAATCCATCATCACCAAAGGATTTCACCATAAATTCAGATTGGGGAGGGCTCCAAAAACATGCTGGTTAAGATGGGGAATGCCTCAAACACACTCCAAGGGATATTCTGAGCTAACAACTTCATTTTGATTTTCATCTCATCCCATCTGGAACTCCATATTCGAATGAGAAAAGAAATCTAGGTAAAGGTGGAGCCTCCTACCTGTGGACTTTTCCTCCATAAAAAGGCTTCGTATGGAAGATCACCGATGCTGAGTATCCGGTCTTGGCACAGTTGATGCTGACTTTTCCTCCAAGCTCCACCCATGGGATGGTGAGAATGGACCGTGCGTAGGCACTAGGCAGGGTGAACACGTACTCCTCTCCATGTTCCAGCAGCCTCAGCACACCTCCAGGAGACAGAGGGTGAGGATTAGGCACAAAGATGTGGGAGAAGGATGAGTGGGGATCAAATGATGTGAAGACAGACAAACAAATCAGCACCCTGGGACAGATGTCACGTCTTGCACCTCAACAAAGGTAAGCCACTCATACAACATACAGCCATCGTATACTACCCACAGTGCAAGACACTGAGACTACAACAGTCAACAAGACAGACGCGGTTTCTGCCCTCAGCAGGCAGAAGAGAAAGGTGGCCACTAACAAATACCAATAAAAAGTTATATATGTGACAAAGGCATGAAGGAGACATGCCCAGCACTATGTAATCCTCCACCCAGAGGAGCTGACCTGGACAGGCATGATGTCTCTGAAGTAGTGACACCTGAGTTAAGTAGGAGTAGACTAAGAGACTAAGGAAGAGTGGTCCCTGCAGAAGGTTCTGGGGTAGAAGGGGCTTGATAAAAGGGTCCAAACGGGGCATTGGAGGTGGAGTAGTACGAAGGTATGGAGGCCTAATAAACATGGGTGAGATCTTGTCTTCTAAACGTCTAAAAACATTGCTAATGACTGTTTCCTTTGTCCTGAGAGCAACAGAATTAATCTCAATGGTTGTCATGAAGTTAGAGATATCAGGCTTGGCTGCTTTCCAATGTACAAAGGGGCTTCATTAAGTTTGTGGGGGGATTCCATTTTCTTTTCATTCCATTTGCTACAACCTTTTTAAAGTCCCCTTGTACAGGTGGCTGCTGGGAACCCAGCATAAGACTTGCCAAGAACAGGAGCTATACACACACACCATCTACCCACTTCCAGAGCAGGGCCTCTCAAGACTAGCATATATGTCGTATTAGGCTTGGATGGGTCATAATCCTCATGAAATGAGGCACAATTAGGTGGATTTGTCCATTTTTCTAGAGAAGAGGGTCACAGGTTTCACTGAGTTCTCAAAGGCTGATGTGACTTGCCACTTCCCTCTGACCAATAAAATTGTAAGAAGCCCTGGGGCTGATGTAGAGTCTGTGTACCACATGCAGGAGGAAACCCAAATCCAGCAAGCCACAGGGCTGCTTTCATGCAGAGGAGCACCACTGTTCACACCAAAGCCACACAGAAGCTGGAGGAGACTCTAACAACCAGTGCTCCAAGCTCGCTAAGATGTACCCCAATCTTCTCAGTGTGCCATTCTGGTACTCTAAGGCTTAACCTCCAAGATCACCCCCGTAACTTATTCCAGGTCACATGATTATCAAGGACACTAGGAGCCCAGGAAGGGTAGTTCTGCCCTTTAATCCAACATCTGTATCCAGAGCTGGTTAGTGACTTCCCCTCCCTGGGTTCTAGTGCCAAGTGTGAAGTATGGAATCAACGTAATCATGTGTGAGCACTTTCTGGCTGCCAGCCCCTCCTGTGGCCTGCACACACACTGTCTCCTTTAACCTACAAATCTCTCTGATGAGGCAAGAGGAAAATGAAACTCAGAGACTAAGTCATTTGCAGGATCAGCATTTCTCTCTTAGGATAAACAAACATTTAAATCAATTAAAGCTAGAATTTGCCCAGTAGCATGTGTGTTTGTTTCTTCCAGTACAGTTAGCTTTACAAGGAAACCAGAGGACAGACGGGGCTAATTTGGACAGAGGAGTTACAATCATTGTTCTTTTCTAAAGTCAATACTACGGTGGATTCAACTATCATTCAATTTACTCATGACAATTCCTTCATTGCTCATGAAATACAGTGTTCTAGACCAAAATGGATGCAACAAGAGGCTGAAACTTGTTCTTGAAAATGCGGGAGCTATAACAAATAGAAGAAATGATGAAGTGAAAGAGTTAAACATTTGAGAATAAAACGTAGTATAATGAAATGGTCACAGACCTGAGTTAGAAAACCAAAGGGAAGAACATGCTCACCATTTCTCAAATTGAAAGAACTAAAGAAAAAATTCAAGCCTCGATAAACAATGAACAACGCATGAAGTACCAAAAGATGGAAGGAATATGCAGAGTCACTATACCAAAAACAATTGGCTGATGTTCAACCATTTCAGGAGGTAGCATATGATCAAGAACCAATGGTATTAATGGAAGGAATCTAAGATGCACTGAAGGCACTGGTGTAAAACAATGCTCCAGGAATTGACAGAATACCAACTGAGATGTTTTAACAAACTGATGCAATGCTGGAAGAGCTCACACATCTATGCCAAGAAATTTGGAAGATCAATACCTGGCCAACTGACTGGAAGAGATGCATTATTTGTGCCTGATCCAAAGAAAAGGACCCAACAGAATGTGGAAATTATCAAACAGTGTCATTAATATCACATTTAACTAAATTTTTGCTGAGGATAGTTTACAAACAGTTGCAACATCAACAAGTAACTGCCAAAAGTTCAAGCCAGATTCAGAAAAGAACATGGAATGAAGGCTATTACTCCTATTATTAGATAGATCTCAAAAGAAAGCAAAGAACACCAGAAAGATGCTTACCTAAGTTTTAGAGTATGCAAAGGTACTCAACAATGTGGATCATAACAAATTATGCATAACATTGCAAAGGACGGAAATTCCGGAACACATAATTGTGCTAATGTACACAGACCAAAAGGCAGTCATTTAACAGAAAAAGGAGATACTGTCTGGTTTAAAATCGGCAAAGGCTGTGTTTCAGGACTGTATTTCCTTCCACCATACTTATTCAAACTGCCTGCTAAACACATAATATGAGAAACTCAATTATATGAAGAAGACTGTGGCATCAAATTGGAGGAAGACTCATTAATAACCTGTGATATGTTGATGATACAACCTTGATTGCTGAAAGTGAAGAGGTCATTTACTGATGGAGATAAAAGACCTTCAGTATTGATTACATCTCAACATGTTGTTGTTGTTATGTGCTGTGGAGTAGGTTCTGACTCATAGTGACCCTGTACAAGGTTTCTGAGGCTATAAATCTTTATGGGAGCAGAAAGCCTCATCTTTCTCCCGTGGAACAGCTGGTAGTTTTTAACTGCTGACCATGCAGTTCACAGCCCGATTCGTAACCACTATGCTACCAGAGCACCTTCATCTCAACCTAAAGAAAACAAAAATCCTCACAATTGCACCAATAATCAACATCATGATAGATGGAGAAAAGATTAAAGTTTCCTTTTACTTGAATCCACAATCAATACCCATGAAAGCATCAGTCAAGAAATCAAACATTATATTGCACTGGGCAAATCTGCTGCAAAAGACATCTTTTAAAATGTTAAAAAGTAAAGATGTCACATTGAAGATGTCAACTGCCTCAAATATATACAAAAGCTGGACAATGAATAAGGAAGACCAAAGAAGTGATGTCTTTGAATTATGCTGAACAAAGAATATGAAATATACCATGGACTTCTGGATGAATGAACAAAAACTGTGTTGGAAAATGTGCAGTCAGGATGCTCCTCAAATACAAGGATAGTGAGATTTCACCTCACATATGTTCAACATGTTCTAAGGAGGAACCAGTTCCTGGAGAAGGACATCATTCACATTTGAAAAATTAGAGGGTCAGCAAAAAAAGAGAAAGACCCTCAACTAGATGAGGTGACACAGTGGCTGCAATAATAGGCTCAGGCATAGGAATGATTGTGCTCAGGACTGGGCAGTGACACGTACGTTACTATTGTACATAGGGTCTCTATGACTCAAAGGCACCTAACAACAGACTTGTCAGGAGCCATCAACCTCCTCAGTTAAATCTATCAAGTTCACTTCTCCCCACACAGTGAAATAGAGATCCCCATGGAGTCCTGGTGTGATGCTGTGGGTTAATGCGCCAGACTGCAAAGTCATTTGAACTGCAAGGTTGGCGGTTCAAGCTCATCAGCTGCTCCTCAGAAACCCTATCCAGGGTCGCTATGGGTCGGAATCGACTCGATGGCACTTAACAACAACAACAATACTGTAAACCTAACATGAAATATTGGCTTTTCTTTAAGGGTCTTCATCACTCCTTGTATGGTGGGAGGTTCACATCATGAGAAGTGCATGTGAGAACTAAGATCACCAAAGAAAAGTAGGTCATGTGGGTTCACAGGACAGCTATTTCAGCAGCACTGAACGCCTCTCTCTCTTTGGTAAGAGCCCTGGTGGCACTGCAGGACAACCACAAGGTTGGTAGTTCAAACCCACCAGTCACTCTGGAGGAAAAAGATGAGGCTGTCTGTTCCTGTAAAGATTTATAGTCTCAGAAATTGGTTTGATGGGTTTAGTTTTGGTATCTTTCTCTGGCTATAAATATAACTAAATACATGCAACATATATAAATGCACCAACTGGCATAACTCCATGTGATAATTAAGGTTCTGAGTAAATCTGGCTGTGCCAGGATTCTCAGAAGTTTGGCAGTTAAGACATAGTAATCCTCTCATGATGAGATGAGCTGTGAGCAGTCAATCCACTGAAAGGTAATTTCCTTGGGGTTGTGGTTTGCTTCCAATATACTGGACACTCCAGCAAAGCTTTCTTGCTTTCTGCTGGGTCTGGGTCTGGATCTGGATCTCCTTCGGCATGTGGACTTGAGCCAGTGGCCTGCTCTATTGCCTGCCAATCCTGGGACCCATCAGCACCCTGTCTGCCTGCTGTCTGACCTGGTGATCTTAGTCCATCTAACCCATGGACTTGGGACCTGTCCATCTCTACAACTGTATGAGCTATTTCCTTATATAAACCTCTCTTCATATATACATGTATAAGCTTCACTGGTTTTGCTTCTCTAGAGAACCCAACCTGAGACACTCTACTACACCAAATATAAGGCGTATCTGAGCAGATGGGATTTCTCCTCTACCATCCCTACTCTCATCTGCTGCAGCCCTCAGAACTGAGTTACTCTTGCTCCCTCAAAAGAAAGTCCTGGCCTACCTAATGCTCACACTCTAACCTTTTTCTCTCCCCACCGCCCTCTCTACACACACCTTAGAAAGTAGAATGGTCTTGAGGCCCTTCCTACTCACTTATCT